ACTTCCGTAGTGATACTGCCTCAGAAACCCAAGGAGGGGTCGCTATGAGTCGGGGCCGACTCGACGGCAAATAACAAATAACAACAATATACGCACATATACATATATATTATATATAAACATGCTTGTGTATAGAGCAGGACAGGGTGGATTTCTTCAGCATATGACACAAATGGAAAATTGAGGCAAAGACAACTCTCAAGTTCTGTAGTAAATTTTGTTGATTGCCTAATCAACATGCATCTATTGTCATCAACACCTTTGTTCCTTCATAAAAGAACCTCAGTTTTGTTAAGGTGTCACTTTCCTTCAGGGGGCTCCTGCTCATGAGTGTGACTCAATCTATAGCTCCAGGGGATCCTGATTGTCCTGAAGACCAACTACACTACTATTTTCTTTCTGGTGGTTGGTTTAACAAAGGTGGCTAAGCTCTTTTACCTTCATTATTTCATGCAATTTTCACAACTAAAAATCACAGTACTTGAAAGTCAAGAACTCATGCCTTTTAACAAAATTAAAATATATTCAATAAGAGGCGAGAAGCAAGCTATGCCTCTTGGTTTCTAAGCACCTAATTTCATTCAACCAACAGTCATTTTGTGGTATGTATACAGTTCCAAGTACTATCTATCAATTTAGGGATAGAAAGGTACAGTGAAGTGAATCACTTCATATGGCCCTTTTAGCCAAACACTGTCTGGTAACTCTCACACAATGATTGGGCAGGACTATGCAAATAAAGCCATAGGCATGACCCACCAATTGTATCTGACAGTGGCTAACAATGCAAGTAAGGTACACAGAACACTTGCAGGTGGAACCCTGCAAATAATTTATGTGGAGCCCTAATGAGGAATTGGTCAATTTTGCCATCCTACTAGGCTTCAATGAATCATCCCAGAGGCAGAATGGGGAGACATCACCACCACCAAGAAAAAGTTGTGAGTGAATCAGTCTTTTGGACCCAGAGTGCCTGCACCAAGAACCTCCTAGATCCAGGAGACAGAGAGCAAGATAACTTTAATAAAAGAAAGGCAGAGAAATGGCAGCAGCAGAAAGGGGAAACCAGTAAGAGATGGTACAGTGGGCTTTTGGACCCACAGAGCAAGGTGGCGTCTGTGGGTGTGTTACAGTTCGTGTGCTGACCCACAGAATGAGACTGCTAAGTGCCTTCAGAGAGAGGCTTACTGGTAGAGTAAGGTGTATCCTGGTGCTAAATAGCTGTGTAACAGTTGCTGGAGTAGGGCAGAGTCTGGGCTGAGGAGCTAGCTGAGAAAGAAAGAGAGAGAAAGGCCTGCTGCCGGCATGGCTGAGAAGCTGTCTTGACTGTATCCTGAGTCATTCCTGTCCTGAATTGTAACCTGTTACTTCTCTAATAAACTCCATAACTGAGTATGGTCTGTGAGTTCTGTATAGTCACTGCAGTGAATTATAGAACCTGGCAAAGACATATAGAGTGCTGTGGGAGGGACAGTTAGTGTCAGAACTGGTAAAAAGGTTGGAGAGAGGAAGTATGTTTGACTGCCACCTCATGGGTATCAGACTTAGGCTGATGCTAGTGATGATTTTCCTCCCATGTGAAGTTAGACAAGGAGGTCCAATGCCGCCACTTTTAAAAAAAGGTTATTTCAACATCTTTATAAGGAAGATAATAAAGGTTAAGAAAAATAAATCAATTGATAAGATGCAGAAATGCCAGAATGCAATCAATCTATGTTGTTGTTGTTGCTGTTAAGTGCCATTGAGTCGGCCCCGACTCATAGCGATCCCTCCTTGGGTTGCCAAGGCAGTATCACTATGGAAGTAGATTGCCCAACCTTCCTTCCGAGGAGTGGCTGGTGGGTTTGAACTGCCAGCCTTCTGGTTAGCAGTCAAGTGCCTTAGGCACTATGCTAGCAGCTATATTTGTCTTTTATCTATCTACCTATGATCCAGAAAATACCTCTCTTGCAACACATGGATAAAAATGCATTCATATACAAGAAATACACACACACACACACAAAAAATTTTCTATTGTGATATATTTTATCTTAAGCAAAATACACTATCCTAAAAAATTTCTAAGGATAAAAATGCATTTATATACAAGAAATACACAAAAAAAAACAAATTTTCTATTGTGATATATTTTATCTTAAGCAAAATACACTACCCTAAAAATTTCTAAGGAGCTCTGGTGTCCCAGCAGTTTCAGTGCTCATATGACAAGCAAAATATTATCAATTTGAAACTACTAGCTGCTTCACAAGATCAAGATGTGGCAGTGTTGGAAAGAGGAAGTTCTACTCTGTCCTGTAAGGGTCTTTATGAATCAGAATCGATTTGATTGCCAGGTTTTGTTTTTGTTTAAAACTTCTGAATAAATAAGAATGATTAAGAATTAAACTTAAGAATAAAAGTGGATCAGACTTCAAGCAGAATCTTCTTATATAAATATCCTTGCTGCTGAATTTGCCCTAATTTATACCACCGTATTTGAACGAAAATTAGAGGGACAATAGCAATCTTTCAAATCCTTTCAAACTGTTATAGAATACTCATTCACAATGTGAAAAGATGTAATTATCAAGCAGCAATGATCAGCACGAGAGAAAAATCGTTCTAATAAAAATTGATGTGGGTAAGTAGTTCTCACTTCCACACTACATGGACATTTCCAGTATTTCCAATATTTCAGCTTAGTCACCACTGTTACTTTCGTAGAGGCCCAATCATTTCCTGGCTGCTTTAAATTTAAGTCAAAATACCATTACTTCTGAACAGACATTTCCCACACTCAAAAACAATATTTTCCCAAAATCATCCAATGCATTACCTAGTTATATTTTACAGAATACTTTTTCTCTTGTGTATACATTTATAATACTTGTACAGTAAAATATAACACTACCTATAGAATAAAATAGGGGCTCTGGTAGCATAGTGCCTAAAGCACTTGACTGCTAACCAGAAGGCTGGCGGTTCAAACCCACCAGCCACTCCTCAGAAGGAAGATAGGGCAATCTACTTCCATAGTGATACTGCCTCGGAAACCCAAGGAGGGGTCACTATGAGTCGAGTCTGACTCGATGGCACATAACAACAACAACAACATAGAATAAAATATCCAACCTCATTTTTAGCATCTACTCCAAGTAGAAAGTTACAAGATAGCAGGCAACTACATTGTAAATCCTTGTAATACTTATGAAGAACCAAGGAGCACTTAAAGGAGCTCTGGGGCGCAGTGCATTGGGCTGCACCTCAAAAGGTCAGCAATTTGAACCCATCAGCTGCTTCGTGGGAAAAAGATAAGGTAGTCTGCTTCTGTAAGGATTTACAGGCTTGGAGACCCTATGAGGCTGTTCCACTCTGTCCTATAGGGTCACTATGAGTTGGATTCAACTCAATCGTAGTGGGTTTGATTTTATTTTTAATTCCAAATACTCAAAGCAAGAAAAGCTTAATCCATCAATAGGTTAAAGGAGTGGAAACTTCTTTTCTAAGTAGGCAAACAGCTTCATTTCAAAGAAATAGTTTGCTGATGACTCATATAAAATTATGACTTTTTTGTTTATGATTTGGTTTTGCCAAACTAGGAGGAACTCCTCTTCTGTAAATTGTGTACTCACCTAAGGAATATGCCAAGGGTTTCACCAGTGGTTGCTGTAGAAGTTGTGTTATGGAAGTCAATTCAGGGATCAGGTCCTCCTGGTGTGGCAGCACTAGCTTCCAGAAGACTCTGCAGGCAGGAGAGTTCCACAGGCACTCTGTCTCTTCCTGAGAAGATGGGGGTTGGATCCTTGGGTGCTCTTTTGTTGAATTCCAAAGACCACACCCAATTCTTCCCAGTGATTACATTTCATGGGTCTTCCTATGGGGTGATTAGATTTTTGTCAGTGAGAAGGGATTATGCAACCCACTTGCTAATCTCTGCAAACATCCAATAAACCAAACACCAAATCCACTGCCATCCAGTCAATTCTGACTCATAGTGACCCACTTTGGAGTTCCAAGAATGTAACTCTTTATGTCTGTCCCATCTTCCTGCCTGAGGAGCAGCTGGTGGGTTTGAACCACTGACCTTCTGCTTAGCAGCAGAACTCTGTTGAAGTGAAACAAAGAGATTTATTGAACACAGAAGA